AATGAGGAGGAAGCAGTATTTTTCCAAGAATGCTTTCTGTTCATGTGGGGGCCACCAAGCGTAGGATGTGCTACTGCCTAGGTGCGAGCCGCACGTACAGGCGCACGAGATGATCATATTGCAGCATTGCTGTTACTCTCCAACAGTGCAAGCAGCCTGTCTGCAAAATAAAACTATGTAAAAACGCATGACTGCACCGGCAAGCCTGGTGCGTTGCAATTTGGGTTACAGGAGTAATGTGAAACAATTAGCTCAGACAGAGTTCGAATTTGTTTGCGTTTTCAGTTAATGGTATCATTCTGGGTTCTCTGTGGCTGTGGACTAGCGGCTGCGCTGATTGGTCTGCTGGGCACATGCGCGGCTGTATCTGCGAATCGTGCTGTGTTGATTTTATTTATCATTACCGCAATACTGCTGATTCTTGTCGAGATCGGAATTGGTGTTTTCCTTTTTCTCTACAACTCAACGGTAATTTGAGTAGTTTAATCCTTATTAAAAAAGAAAAAAGTTAGAAACAAATTTGCTATGAGTATGAAAACTATTGGAGCAATCGGCTCGGGAATATAATGTTAGTGTTGTTACTAGCATTGTGCGGGTCAGTTATTCCTGGCCTTTCAATCCTAATCTGCATACTGTCGGTTAGTATCTGCCATCTGCTCGATGTCGACGCGAATGTAACCAAGAAAAATTGGATTAACGGATTCCCACTCCATCTGACCGCACAATCTTAGTGTTCCTAGTTTGTGATAGTGCGAGGAATTAGGGCATTTTTTTGGCGCATTTTTTTAGAAAACCAAATATTTATTTGTAGAATGGCAGCAGAGGAACTGTGTTTCGTTCTGCTATCTCTTGTTTTGGCCAAACATCGTGGATTTGTACTGCACGTACTAATAACCGTCAGTCACTCGTCGAAACTCTTACAGTGTGCGATTTTCAGTTGAATAGTAATCATAAGAAATTACAGATCGAGCAAACAGTGGTAAAGTATGTAGATATGTCACGTTTATCTACCTCTCTGAATGATATGAATGTCATCGCTGCAAGGGTGAGTGACATTTTTTATAGATGCTCTGAA